AGGTACAGCAGCATCCATGATGTGCTCTGGATTTCCTTACAGGAGGATGCCTTTCTCCTGGTAAATGAGTCACTACCAGTTAGTTAGATGAAGTATCTCCCTGATCCTTGCTGAAGCCTCTTTCCTCTGCACTGTGAAGACCACGTTGTTTCTTCTCCCTGCTGAAAGCACAAGCAGCAAATCCAGCAGAGAGCCAGCATCTTCCTTGTGGCAGTTCCTCTGACGTAGGTGAACCTCTGAAGTGAAGTGTGTGACATCAGGAAGATGTTTTAATCTGAATTATGCTTGCCCATCTGAGTAACAGGTGGCCGTTATCTTCTTTTCATTATCTCACGGCCAGGGCTGCTGCCAGCATGAGTAAGAAAGGTTTGAGTCACAGGGATGGAGCAGTTCATTTCTTTCCGGAGGCTGTTGTCAGAGACAACCAGGCCCAAATGTCCATCATGAGGATGAATGATGCACAAATGAATGAGGGGAGAAACTTACTCCTGAGAGAAATAAAGCATCCCTCATGAATAACGCAGAGTGTTGCTTCAAGATTCAAGACACCTAAAACCTGTTGTACATTGACTGTGAATGTGAATGAGGCTTAGCTGCTCTGCAGCTACACGCTGGCCTGAACGCAAACTATAAATAGCTTACCACTGCCACATTTAGTTTTTATTTTTTTAACGCTGACCATGTATTTGGCCCGATACCAATGCACATCTAAGACAAACCTCTCCCAATCTCTGAGAGAGCCTAATGTAGAAAAACACCCTTTGCTTTGCACCATGCAGGCTCCATCTATGCTACTAAGTAGAGCAGAGAGCCCTTATGGTCTGACTCTTTGCCTCCCTTGCCTACATCTTCTTGCAGTTCTGTTTGATGTCTGTAGTCCAGACCCTCCATAAATGGGAGGAGATGGCTTTTGCAGTGCATTGGTGCTCTGCAGGCCAAAATTGAAGTAACACTCTGAGACATGACATTTCTTCACGCCAAACTATTCTTCTTGGTGCCAACACAGATGAGCTCTGTCTTGAAAGCCTAAGCAGCTGGGTGGTATTATAAAAGAGAGAGAATACTAATGACATCACTTCCAATCAAGGTGAGAGGTATTTAGACTGTCTTTGATCATTCAAATTATATCTCATTAAATATCAGCCAAACCTGATTGATGTGGTCATATCATGTATTGTGGGACCTCAGCGAAGTGGTTAGTCTACTAGAGTAGTATAGGTAGTATTTACCTAAGCGTGGTCCAATGTAAAGTTCCATCTATACCTTTCTTACTGATATCTCAGCCCCATGGCTAGTTATTTGCTATACCTAGTTTTAAGGTCTTCTGTTTAATCTTCCTTCTTCACTGTAGAAGAGTGAGAAATACCAATGTCATGCTTAACCTTTCTATTTCTCTTTAAGCCTTGTGTTTCTTATGGTTCACATGGAGTCATCTCTTTATACTTTGGTAAAAAGCAGTGGCATTCATGTAGAGGGCATTAGGCTGGATTTTAGGAGCTGAAATCTGCTACCAAGGGAGTTGATTCTGCTTCTGCCTTTACTTGACAAAAGTAAAACCCAACTGCTTGGAGACTGATCCTGTGCACTATGGAGGGCTGTTTCCCAGTGTTAATGATCATCTGTGCCCCTCTTCCTCTGGCAATTGCTGACCACCTCATTTTGCCCAGAGGAAGTCTTTGCTGTTAAGAGGACAGTGGTTTGTTTTAAATTTGAGATGTATTGACTTTCAGAGAATGTATAGTGCGGGAATTTGCTTTTCATGCATCGCTCAGTGTATTGCTGGATAGATTCTGTAATGCTAAAGTAATGGAGAGTGAAGTCTTTCTTTGGTGCATTTTGAAACCCCTCATCTCACAGTGTCGAAGGCAATGACTAAGGTGCCTATTCCTTAAAGCCATGTTGTACTGGAGAGAGATACGACTCTGATCCTTTAAACATGAATATCTATTTGTAAAGTCTTATTACAGTTTCATGAATAAAGTCCTTTCTTTACCCCAGTTTTGTGATGAAAATACAGTAAAAAAAATTATCTGATGTTGTGGAAAGTGAGTATGACATGGGGCAGAATACAAATCAGAATTTCTGGATATTCGGTCTACCTGTGTGAATTGGAGAGAAATTATAGCCTGACAGTGTCTGTGCTTTACAATCTGTAAAACAGGGATATGGATATATTCCTATCTTATGGGAGAGCTGTGAGTCCCGAGTTAATTACGAAGTCTGTGACAAATCTTAGATATTCAATTGTGAGATAGTGTATAAGCACATAATATTAATGTTTTATAATCTCCCTAAACTGTCTCTGTGGATATCTTTAGTGAGAGGGATATAGCGATATCAAAAGAAATCTTTTTTTCACCCCAATCATTTTCTTTAGAACCCAAAGTGAAAGCTGTTTCCACCAACTGCCATCTCTGCAACCATCTGGAAAATCACATTTTCTGAAGCTTTCCTTCTCTTTATCAGCTGTAACTAAAGCTATAAAATGGGAAGATGTCCCTGGTTTAATTAACACCCCTGTAGTTCAAAAGCTGATCTTAGTAATGAGAGGCAATTATAGCCTTTATTGAGGGACAGTCAGGTGGAACAAACCCAGCATCAATCTATTGAAGACACTTCCCGTTCCAGGTAATTTGAAAACTGCTTTTTATGATGAACAGGCTACCTGGCCCAATACAACAGGTGAATCTCTTTGTTTTGTAACCTGAAAAGAACTTCCTATTTTGAGTTATGTGCTTCTTTTGTAAACCATTTTTCACATCCCATCCATCTGCCAACAATTAGCAACTGAGCTGTGGAAGTACCTGCTTTTTGGAGGGTATTCTTGCTGGTTTTCTCTCTTTTTTTTTTTCTTTTTTTTTTTTTCTTTGTCCACTGTTGGTTTTAATTTTGAATGCTGCCTGATGTTCATATTCTTGTTCTAGCAAAACTGCAGGCTCCATGGTGCGCCCACATCCCGAGGGCTATGCAGAGTTCTGGTTTCTGCACCTCCAAAATTATGTGGCAGAGCTAGAGAAGGTCCAGAGAAGGACATTGAAATGATCAAGGGAATGTGATTTCTGCTGTAGGAGCTAAAAAGGCAGTGGCTCCAGTTCAGACAGGAGAAAACAGAGCAGAGATAAAGCTGAGTTTAGCTCAAGTCATGAAGGTAATAGATAGGGTAGAAACAGAACTTTAATACTAGATGTAAGGGGCACTAGCTGAAACAAGATCTGCCTGAAATTAAGTCCTTTTTTATACAGCAGATAGTTAACTTCTGGAATCTGTTGCCACAGGAGTTTGAAGAGATGAGCAGTGTCAACAGTTTCAAAGTAAGGATCAGACAAATTCAGAGCAGCAGGTCCATGACCTGAGTCTAAGGGTGATGGGCAGGGCTGGGGCAGTACGAGGGGGATGGTCCTGCCTCAGCAGTATCTTGGATGCTGTCTGGTCTCCGGCTTCTGATCCGTAAGTGTGGGTCTGCTGTATGCCCTGTGTTTCATCTGCCAGCCCTCTGGATATCCTGATAACTCAGGGGTCTCAAATGATGATAGATGGAAAGCTGATTTAAACCCTCAGTGTCTACAGTGCAGGCACCTACATTGGAGCCTGTCACCGAAGGTGGAGCTCTACTCATTATAAGACATCTGCGTTCAACTGTTTGTGTTTAGGAGTCTATCTGTGCAGTAGGTGTCTAAATTCTTCTGCAGTCAGCAGGTGTCTAATGGGGACCTAATGAATACGGTCAGTGGAACAGTCAGTATTGTTATTTCATCTCACCATAAGGTAGACTTGGATGGTCAGTTAAATAACTCACTACTGGCTGTTTTCACTAAATCTTTGTTGACTATAATGGGAGCTTGGACAGCTAGTGCACATGTAGATAACAAAATTTAGGTGTATTAATCTTGAACTGCGTTCTGTCCCGAAATTTCTGTTATAATGACTGTAGAGAAATAGGTGTCTCCTGAGAATCTCTCATTGACCTGTTTTAGACACCTAGGTGTAGATGATACAAACTGCACTTGGGAAGTGCATATTTCTATTCAGTGACTTTAAGGGGATTATAGACACCATTACCCACATGGTCAGTGCATACTGTGGCCAGATGAGTCCCAGGCATCCCAGCTGGGAGACTTTGGTACTGTCACATTGAATCTTAGCTGTAAGAAATATAGATTTTTAAAATAGCGTGATGTTAAAAAGTGAAATTATGATTTCAAAACAGACTCATCCACATGTATGGTTTGATTTAGAATACAGGTTTTGCCATGATTTTACTATCTGTAAACTATGTGAAATGTGCTACATCCTCAGTCTTGGATTAGTTTAATATCCTGACAAAATTGCCTTTGCCTAGCTGTAAAAGCTGTAAAGCTATAAAACAAGCTTGTAAGTTGTTTATTCTTCAGTAATTAAAGATAGAGCAGGCATTAAACCCTTAAAGTCCTATGGTGTTCCAGCAGTGAGTAGCTTTCATAGGGTGTCTAGGAGAAAGGTTTGTTCAGTGTGGAAGAGTTTGGAAAGGAATTTCTTTGTTTGGTGGGTCTGTGGATGTTGTTAACTCCAAGCTGCCAGCAAACAAAGAATTTGGATGCCATCAGTGTACTATGGTTTTGGGATGGGGAAACACCAACTCTTCTCAAAAATACTGTGGACAAGTCAACCTATTTCCAAATCTTCCACTATTGCATGTGATACAGGTTGGATGTGAAATTTCTTTAGCGAATGAATGTGATATAATCTTGTTTTAGGAGACTGCACATTATTTGAGGTAAGATGGGTTTGCCATCCTTTCACCTTTCCCACTCCTGCGTGTAAACCGTTTTTATTCTGTGTCATTTGCTTTGGATACAGGACGTGAGTGAGGAGATAGGAAGATTGTGTGACTGCAGTGTTCCTATAACTTTGGATCTGGCTGTGGCATCAGAGTCTTGGCGATTCGCGTGGCTTGCATGAAGGGGGAGCTGTGGTCATCATGTGCCTTGCTGACTGTCCTGTCTTTTCATTCCCCCTCCCAGGTTATGGACATGCTGCCCCAGGGACGGATGCAGGGAAGGCCTTTTGCATGTTCTATGCGGTCCTGGGGATCCCACTGACACTCGTCATGTTCCAGAGCTTGGGCGAGCGCATGAACACCTTCGTCAAGTACCTCTTGAAACGCATCAAAAAGTGCTGTGGGATGAGGAGCACCGAGGTCTCCATGGAAAACATGGTCACTGTGGGTTTCTTCTCCTGCATGGGAACACTCTGCATTGGAGCAGCAGCCTTTTCCCAGTACGAGGAATGGAGCTTTTTCCATGCTTACTATTACTGCTTTATAACATTGACTACGATAGGATTTGGAGACTATGTGGCCCTGCAGACCAAAGGGGCCCTTCAAAAGAAGCCTCTCTATGTGGCTTTTAGCTTTATGTACATTCTAGTGGGGTTGACAGTCATTGGGGCATTTCTAAATCTGGTTGTTCTCAGGTTCTTAACCATGAACAGCGAGGACGAGAGGCGGGATGCCGAGGAACGGGCATCCCTGGCAGGGAACCGCAACAGCATGATTATCCACATCCAAGAGGACTCCCAGCATGGTCGGCCACGGTACAAGGCCGAAGTAACAGACCTTCAGTCAGTTTGTTCCTGCATGTGTTACAGGTCCCATGAGTACACCAGCCGGGTGGTGTCCCACCAAAATTCGTTCAGCTCAAAGCTGAACCCCCAGTACTTTCACTCCATCTCTTACAAGATAGAGGAGATCTCACCAAGCACATTAAAAAACAGCCTTTTCCCATCTCCTGTCAGCTCCATCTCACCTGGGTTGCACAGCTTTACAGATAACCACAGGCTGATGAAAAGGCGAAAGTCCATTTAAAGGGATTTGTCTTCTTTTGCTTTCCTTGTTTTCCCTAGTTCTCCGTTGTTCTGTTTTTTTTGTTCCTTGAGTGAGACAGAGGGAGGCCCAAGGGAGTAGAGAAAGCCAGTCCTCCTCTGAGACTCAGCTCTTGAGCATGAAGCATGGATTATTACTGTTCCAGCAAAGTATGCCTTACATTACCCCCTCGGTGGATGTCAGAGGATTCAAGGTGACGTGAAGTGGGTACCAAATCCAAAGTTGCACACACAGCTGGGAGCCTTCATGTGCCACTGGCACTCCTGACCTAATAAACTATTTTCCTCACGAGCAGGTTGCAGCGTGGGTGCGTGCTTGTGTGCGTGTTGGGTGTGTGTGCGTGTGTGTGCGCGTGCAATTCCACAACTAGTGCCATGTGACAAAAATTAAAGCATCAGGTATCATTTTTTTTTTTTCCCTTGAAGCAATTGTGTTCCAGCCTGCTTTTAACTTTTAGATTGCTTCCAAAAGGAAGGGGGAGGGTGGGAGGGGAGCCAATTCATTTTGTTTTTTGCCAAGACAAGCATGCGCCATAAGCAGTCAATATACCAGGTGTATCATGATAAATTTTTTAATGCTAGATTTTAGATTGTATTAACATTACAAAAGGCAGGAAAAGATGGATCATTTTAGCTTGCCAGTTCAAAATTAAAAAAAAAAAAATAAAATAAAGCATGCACTTTGTAAAACTGGTATGCATAATAAAAACACAAGAAAAACTAGCAATGGAATTCATAATCAAAAGCAAATAATCCTATTGATTTAACTATATTTACTTTTATAATTTTCAACTGTTCCAACAATTTACAAGTGGAATTTTTAAGAGAAATTGAGAGAATTGTTGGAACTAAAGAGTGTATTTTGTTATTTTTATTTTATTTATAAAATTATTATTATTATTATTATTATTATTATTATTATTATTATTATTATTATTATTATTATTATTATTATTATTATTATTATTATTATTATTTTGTGCAGCAATTACCTGCATGAATAGGAATTATATTTTTTGGAATGCTTGGATTAGGATGGGTATAAATAGGTGGATGTATATTTTTTCTTATATAATAGTGACAGGGCATTCCTTGTTTTAAACAAAAAAGTAAAGATGATTGTCTCTAAATGCTTTTGATTTGTAAATAATGGAAAGCCTTTGTTGGTCTCAGGAAGAATTCAAGGGACAGTATCTTGTGTTTGGCTCACTGGGAACTTGTGAGTTTAGATGTGATATTGCTTTTTTTGCTAGGCAGAAGGGCAAAATGCATTTCGCAGTAATGGGCAAAAGCAGTTTTACTCCAGTGTTTGGAGGGTAACATTGGGAGTGATTGCGTTGGCAAGTTGCAGTGGAGGATGTTGAGACCGTGTCATAGAGTTGTTCCTTGGAGATTGTCCATCTCTCAGTTGTTCATCTGGACCAAACAGACTTTACAGAACCGAATTAGAGGCCTAATCCAGCTCCCTTTTAAGACAATAGGAATTCGCAATGATTACATGGGATTTAGTGCTTTGGCAGATCTATCTTTGATTTGACAGGGGTAGGAGTGGGACTTTTATCAACCTGCCCCTTTGTCTCTGATTTAATCCTATCTTTTAAATTGCCTTCCTTGTTAATTTGCCATACAAACCCCATCTTTTTTGACACTTATCACCTACTGCTGATTCTACCATTTTGTGCTCTCAATGTAAGCAATAATACTTTTTTTTTGTTAAACTAGATGGTGTGTTTTTGTACAAGCCCCAGCTCTGAGCTCTGTGTGCTGATGGATATTGATATCCTTTCAAAGAGGCATTTATAAAGAGCGTTAATAGGAGAAATAAGGAATGTCATTCCTCCTCTTCTCCCTAGCTTTAAATTATTAGCTATATCAAATATGCTCATGTTCTCCTAATTTCCATATCTGTTTCAACAAGTAAATGAAAAGCAAGTATCCATGACTTTGGCTCCCCTATGCAACTTCCTTTGGGATTATAAATTGCTGTGGCATGAAAGACCTCCATTAAGATTAGTGAAGAATTAATTTAGGATTCCTAATAAGGATGGATGAGGATGGACTTTTTCAGCCTAATGTGTGGGGATGACATGCTTCAACACAGTAGGAGAGCATCCTGGGTGCACTAATGCTGCGCTGTGGGTACCATGTCCTAAGGCAAATGCTGATGGCAGAAGTATTGAAGCAACCATACCTAGAAAAGCAGTTTCAGGATGTGTTAAACCACCTCAGTGCTTGCCACCTGGAAGCTGGTTTCTGCGAGGGTGGCCCATAGGGCTCATGGTGCTGTCAAAATTTCATTTTTGAGGCCTTTGCTGGTGGTATCCCAGAAGTGCAAATAAGTGTAGGTTTCTTTTCCTGCTAAGGAGTTAAGAAAAAGAATGTTTGGCATATACATATCTGTACTATGTATGACTGCTGGGTGTATCTGACACTGGAGAAGAGCAAGAAATTTTGGGATTTTGCAGAACTCAACTGAAATTCTCTCTGCCTAGCAAAGGAGAACATTTGTAATGGGACTTTTACCAAACAGTTTAAACACTTTTGTGAAAGAAAGGTTACAGCATGTAAAATATTGATTAGCATTTTCCTTTTTATTCCTTTACGAAAAGAGGAAAATTCTATTTCTGCTGCATTTGAAAATAATCTTTAAATGTCTTATAAATAATGTTGAACACCAGAAGTTCAAAGCTGTTACATACTCTAGCTGATTTGTTACTAAATCTTCCCTTTGGAACCATAAATGAAGAGGAAATTTTAATACATGGGGTATTTAACCAGGGGAGCAACTTACCTTGGCATGTCATGGGCTATCTGCCACTTAGAGCTTTTGCTTTAAAACTCAATGGCTTTATAACAGCTCTGATTTAGTTTAGTTGAAATTTATAGATGTGATTGAAGAAATCTGTGTTTGTTGATATGAAGGAGCCAGAGTAGATGTCCGCAATGACACTTTTAAATCTAAAAGCTGTAATGAGTGTGTATGTGGGAGTTTTGCCAAAATGTATCTGCATTCCATACAATTTTAACATACGTTTATTTATTGTTATTTTCTGCCTGAAGAACCTACAGTTCTGTCCAATCTATATTTTTGTTACACGTGTGATTTTAAAGTGGTAAGACATTTCCTTTGCAAGGCTGCATTCATTCAGACATTTGCATGAGCTCTTGCAGGACTTGCCACAAATACAAGAACTATTGTGTGTAGCCTTCAGGCAAAAATATGCTAAAAATGCCTCTCTCGACTGATGTAAGAATAATGATTTGGGCTGTCTAGAACTGGAACAGACAGTATTGTGAAAGGGAAGCTTTTGTCCAAGGTTAATCCTAGCTTTTCAGTTACACATGAGAAAGTAGTCTGTGAAAGGTGAGCTGATTTTTGCCTTCTCTATCTCTGCCTTCCGATTGCCCTACATGTAAACCAGTTTTCTTCCCACAACACTGCTTTTCACAGAATATTTTCTCTGGTACATTATTAGTTTTATTCCACTGTCATGGTTTAACCCCAGCCAGCAACTAAGCCCCACACAGCCGTTCAATCCCTCCCCTCCCATTGGGATGGGGAAGAGAATCAGGAAAGTAAATGTGAGAAAACTCATGGGTTGGGATAAAGACAGATCAATAAGTAAAGCAGAAGCTGTGCATGCAAGCAAAGCAAAACAAGGAATTCATTCACCGCTTCCCATCGGCAGGCAGGTGCTCAGTCATCTCCAGAAAAGCAGGGCTCCATCATGCGTAACGGTTGGGAAGACAAACACCATCACTCCAAACGTCCTCCTCTTCCATCTTCTTCTTCCCCCAGCATTATGTGCTGAGCATGACGCCATACGGTATGGCACATCCCTTGGGTCAGTTGGGGTCAGCTGTCCCACCTGTGTCTCCTTCCAAATCCTTGTGCACCCCCAGCCTCCTCGCTGGTGGGGTGGGGTGAGGAGCAGAAAAGGCCTTGACTCTGTGTGAGCTCTGCTCAGCGTAACTAAAACATCTCTGGGTTATCAACACTGTTTTCAGCACGAATCCAAACCATAGCCCTGTAGTAGCTACTATGAAGAAAATTAACTCTATCCCAGCCAAAATCATCACATCCACTTAAGACATTATTTCTTCCAGAACAACCTCTCTTGCTCGCTACTCGCGCTTTAGAGAGTCAGCTAGAAGCGGGTAGTAGTGGTGCTGCTTATGACAAGACATCCTAATATCCAAAATACCTAACCTGTGTTTCTGTAGCACACAGATATCTACTATCACTTTGTGATGCACTCTCATTCCCCAGAGTCTCATTTTCCTACCCTTCCCTATTATTAAGCATTAGAAATAATAATAATAAATCAGATTAATCTATTTATGTCACACTAATGTGCTCTTCATCAAAACAACACAAATTTAGCTCCCTGCTGTCGACTTTGATTATATAACAACCCTATTATCCTATCATATTTCATATTATCATCAAAGGGAAAAATCAGTTTCATCAGTGAAGCACCAAAATAGCTTTGACTAGCATGCTGTGATATGGAAACGAAAGAGGAAACTTAATAGAACAATGAAGGCACAACTCTCCACTTGTTCTTCATTACTGTGTATGGAAGATCCTGACTGATCTAACTGGGGCTGCTTTGCCAGAATATACACATGTATGCTCTACAGGGAAGACTGTAATGGCACAGCTCTATAAGGGGTGTTTGGGCATTACTTCAAGAGTCCAAATAACTTTTTGGTTGTTAATGAATGGAGACAACATACAGTGACCTTCATCAGTAGACTTCTGTTTGTACTCCTCTGTAACAGCTCATTAGGACAAAACCAACACTATTAAAAAAAAAAAAAAAAAGAGGGAAGTGACCAAGTTAATCTACTGTAGGTTGTCTCATTAGTTTCCTCGTGCTTTGATTGAAGAAATGCCAGGGCAGTAATCAAGGTTATTGTGAATCAAACCTGAGCAAGGTAATTCCTTGTTTTCTCTGACAGATTTGAAAGCTTTTGTTATGGAGAAAAGAATAATTTATTGATAAAACCACAAAAAAAGAGCAGTCAGTGGAACCAAGATGGAGAATGTAAATGTTCCAGAATGATTTGGTGTGTGCAGAGCAGAGGGCAGGAGCTTGGGTAGAAGTAGCTTTCAGCTGATGTTTATGTCCTCATTTAGCTTTATGTAATATTCCTGTTAATATTAGGATCTAATTAGGACAGTAATTTAAAATCTTTATGAGGAAGCCAGACCAGAGAGATGTGTTGGAGTGTGTCCATTACACTAATGTTATGGACTTTTTAATGCATATTTCAACAAGACACTATTATTGACTGGAATTTTGCACAAATTAT